TGGCGGCTGCTCCAGCGGCAGCCGAAGGCGCGTGCTCGCTTGCATGCCCCGCTGCCCCTCGCCACGTGCCGCCCTGGCAGCGGCTCTCAGCCACCGCAGGCATCTTAATGAGAGCTGGGCAGAGCCAGGCCTCTCTCAGCCCCCTCGGCCACCAGGAACCTTGGCAGGGGCAGAGGGTCTCCAGCACGGGCGTAAAACCCACCGGTGGGGCTGCCGGCTGCTGCAAAAGCTCCAGCACCTGCACGGGGAACCGGTCTCTGATCAGCTCCGGCTGCTGCTCTTTAACACTCCCAGGAGCAATGAAGGTGGGCTATAAACCACCTCTTTAACACCGCCCGTAGGTCTCCTGCCAGCTCCTGGTGCGAGAGCTGGGGGTGAGGAGGTGGGGGTGCGGCGGCTGCAGACGCAGGGAGGGTTTGCAGGTCCAGCTGTGCCTGTTCCCCTCCGCCTTGCTGCCGCAGACTGATGGCACGGCGGGGTGACGTGTCACCTCTTCTTCCCTCTTTCCTGCCGGGGGGCTTTGGGTTGGATGTGGACCACCATGCACATGGGAGGCTGGTGAACAGGACATGTCCCTGCTGCTCGGTGTGTCGTGGCGGGGGGAGGCATTTAGGAGATTCATGGGGCCGGGGGTGTTCAGGAGGCAAGTGGCTCTCCCAAAGAGTGATTTCATCCCCAATAGCATCTCCCCTCACATCCCACGCAGCTCATCAGATTTTAAATCCCCAAACCTGGGGCTTATCACCAGGAGGAAAACAATGCCACACCACATCCCTGTCCCTAGCCAGGACTTTGTCACCTTCTGTGTCACCCTCCCTGCACCACCACTGCTGCCCTGCCTTGGCAGAGAGGGGAACAGGGCAACTTGCAGGCGATGGGCAATGCCTGAGCTGTCGTCAGTGTCCCAACCGTGATCTGGATGTCCCCAGAGACCACCTGAAGGTGACAGCCAAGGCAGCGGAGGGGTCCCCAGGTGTGGCAGGGTCCCAGCTCAGCAGTCCAACACCTCTCTCCTTCAAGCTGATGATCTCCTTCCGTGCCCATCAGCTCAGCGCCAGCACTGGGGCTTTTTGTTTATTTTGGTTATAGCCACCTCAGGGTCTTACACAGCCCCTGGTGTAAAAGGAGACTGGGGAAGTCAGAGGGCTCCCCAACAGATGCAGCAGTGCTGCTGCCACAGGGGCTTATTCAGAGATGCTACTGGCATCTCCCCGCGGGCTGATGAACAGGCTCAGGAAGGATTCCTGGTCTGGCTGCCTTCCCTCTGCAGCATCTGTTCTCCCAACAAATCCAGTTTCACTGGGAGGTGTTGTCATAGATGTTCAGCTGGAAAACATGCAGAGGGGAGGGCCTGGCGAAGATGGGAGTAGGGGAGAAGTGGTGGGGTTTTTCCCCTTCTGTTTGCCACCAGGGCCATGAAGAGCAGGGCTGGGGGCTGGCCCAAGGGGTCTCCGCAGCAGGAGGTGGAAAGGTGGTCAGCACACCATGAGCAAAGCCCGGGATGGGGGGAGAAACAGGGTTTCAGTTGTTGCACTCTTCTGGCATTAAGTTGCTCCAGCACCCCGTGCCTCAGTTTCCCTCTTTGTGGGGGGTGACAGCACTCTCCTCCCAAAAGCTGTGTTTCTCTTCAGCCCCACCTTGAGCTGGACACTGCTAAGGGGTTTTATGTCTCCGGTGGCATTGCTGAATGAACCCCCTCAAAGTTGGGGGGTGATTTTCACCCCCCCAGCCCTCCCACAGACCTGCCTGATGCTGGTTCTCGGCTCCTCCATCTTCAGCAGAAGCAGTGAAGGTGTCCCCACTTCTGGGCTGATTCCCTGTGGTCAAACATACCCCTCTCCTCCTGGGCCTCACCTCTGCTGCAGGGGATTGCAGGAGGCAGGAAGACACTGGGTTTTCCAGGGAATGGTTTTGAGAGCCCTTGGGAGTGCTGGAGCCATGAGCAGCTCACGGGGCCGTGCTGCGCAGGGACCAGCTCCTCCCCAGCAAGCCCTTGCCAGGCTTGGGGGGAACATCAGGAAGAAACCAGAGATTCCCCAAGCACCCCGCACTCCATGTCAGATAAAAATCCTTCCTGATCTTAAATCCCCGTGTGCCAAGGGTGGTCCCGGCACCAGCACCGCAAATAGAAGAGGAAAGACTGGAAAGACCCAGTGCTGCCCTGGCTCCTCATCTCGTGGGGCTCTGCTGCTCTCTCCCAGCAAAAGCTGCGATCCATGGCCTGGGGTACAGAGGGGGGAAAGCCCAGGTATCGGTTGGAGCCCAGCCAGGGACATTCACTGCCTTTGGGATTGTTTTGAAGAGCTGCTTCGCTTTCTAAAAATGAAAGGCATGCTAGAGCAGCCGGCGGGGGTGGGATGAGCGTTGCTTCGAGGTTGGGATGGTGGCGGATACCCGGCCCCATCTCTAGGGTTTCCCCCAAGCCCAGGCTGCCCTCAACAGCTGCAAGCATGAGGAAATGAGGACAGGCGGGATGGGAGCACGCCCGGGCTGCCAGACACGAGGTTGAGGCTTTGCCTGGGACAAGAGGGCAAGCTATGGGCATCTTTTTGGGTGCCGGCATCCTCCGGGTGCTGGCAGCGTGCCGGGGTGGGCACCGCAGCCAAGGGGGCTGCCGCCGCTCTCTGCAAACGTCCCCGCCTGCTTCACAGACCCTCGGCCCCTGCCTGGACTTCCCCGGGCAGGGCTGGCAGAGGATCTGCTGCCGGGCGGAGGCAGGCGAGGGGGAGAGAGCGGCATGCCCCGACCTGCTTTAGCTGTGAGATCACCCCACGCTCCCGGCTTTTAAAGAGCGATAATCCGAAGCCGTACACGGCCCCAGGCAGCTCTTGATGGTGAGCACGAGAGGCTGGGGACCGGAGCAGGCACCGATCCCTGGGGCTGCACTTGTGTGCACCCTGCTCCCCAAAAACACGCTGGGTTCTGTCAGAAGGATTCCCATGTTGTTTTTACATGAGTCCAGGGGTCAGATCTGCGCCCCGCTCCACCGTGCGTGCTGCGGGTTTCCCTGGGGCAGTTGAAGGAAACCTTCCCCGCAGGGTTTCTGCTCGAGCATCCCCCAGGCATCGGCGGCATGTGCTCAAACGTGGGGCAGAGCAGGGAGGTCACGCGTGTCCAGGCAGGGCTCTGGCCAGTGATTTACTCTCCTTGGCAATGGGGACGCAGCGCAGGGATGAGCAGTAACCGGAGCTGCACTGCACCTGCGCTGGGCCTCCTGCTTTCCCTCTGATTTAATGTCCCAATTGAGAGGTGATGTCACTTTGGAGGGAGCCAGAGAAAAGGAAGTGCTGGGGAAGATAAGGTGCTTTAACTCTACCCTTCCCAGCTTGGCCAGGTTTTGAAGCTGGGAGCTGTTAGCTGCTTTGTTAGGGGGGCAAAGAGGTTGGTTGGAGGGCACCTTCCTCTTGGGGCAGTGGGAGCTGACACCAGGCGTTGCTCAGATGGAGGGTGATGGAGGACCTTGGATGTTCCCAGGTGGTATGAGCATGATTTTGTGCGCTGCTCTCGCTTCTCCATCACCTTTACCTCCCAAACACGCGGGGTGGGTTGTCTGCAGCACCAGTCATACCCCACCAGAGCCTGGGTGCCACACCAGCAGCTAGGAAGGTGCTCCAGGAGTATCAGCAGAAAGGCTGGCAAGGGGCTGGAGAAGGTAAATTGAGAACGTGCCAAGGCTGCCCTGCTTCTGAAGGAGAGAGAGACTGAATGGAACGGTCATTACCAAAGGCTCATTAAAAGTTCTTGTTTAGCTGTGGAGGTGGGCCAGGGTTTCCAACGGTGCTGAGTCCAGAGACTTGGACTTTCAGAAGGATCTCATAGAGGCATCCCAGTCCCTCTGGCAGTCAAAGGCGAGCAAGCCCTCAAGTCTTCTCTGCCCTTTGGGTGATGTCAAGCTACATCTGCTCATTTGTGTGACTGGGAAGACCTCAGGGGAGACTGGTTGGGCTGATACAACCCGAGGTCCTCTCTGTTGCACCAAGCTGCCACCCCGATGTCCTCAGCTGGGGAGGAGTGAGCTTGGGCCACCACTAGCCAGACCCAGCTCTACCTCAGAGAGCGGGATCAGTGAGCAAGAGCAAATCAGGATCACCCGTGGCCTTACGCAACCGTGCAGGACGCGCAGCAGCACTGGGGGTTTTCCAGCTCCCCGAGCTGCCCACCGTGCAGGCAGGGCAACGCTTGCTGCCCTGCTCAGATCAGTGTTCTTGCCCCTTGAGCTGGGGACTGGCTTCCAGGCAGACTCCTTCACACTTAGACCATGCTTTTGACCGTGCCAGACACCGTGGCGATAGCTCTGGCTGTCAGATGCCACCTACCGTGACCCCAGCTGGGGTTTTTCTCTCAATATCGGGCTTCGAGATGCTGAAGCTGGGTATGACTGCCCAACAGCTTGGCGTGGTAAATTGGGCGCTGCTTGCTGTCACATTCAGTAAGGTCAGAGCGTGACAAACGGCAGTGGCCTGCAGGTACCGATGTGGCAGAAATCATGGGCTCAGCAGGGCTGGGCAGAGGGGGCATCTCTCAGAAACCGAAATGTGTAAGTGTAGCTGTCGCGGCAAGGTTTGGGCTGACCTCCTCAACCCGTGGAGCTTTGCGCCTCGGCGGGCTTGCTTGTTGTCATCCTGCCCTGGCGGGTTTTGCTATCAAAAAGTGACCTTGGTTGTCCTCAAGAGTAGTGGGCAGCCAAGAAAAGGACTTTCTCTCCCTGTTGCTTGTCTGAGTGAAGCGGCGAAACGCGGGACAGCGTGCGGGATGCCTCACGTGTGCGTTAATATCCAGCTGTGGCAGGAAAAATCGGAGCTGGGTCTCCATTCCTTTCTCCATGTGTGTGGTGCAGCCATCACGTCTGCACTGGTTAGCGATGGCTGGTGGCTTTTTGCTCCTCAAGGCTCTGTTCTTAGTGTTATCACCGCTTTGTCCCCAGCCCGGGCCTCAGGCTGCCAGGTACTGATGGTCTCGGCCTTGCTGCTACAAGCTCAATGTCCTCATTTTCTCTGCAGGAGGCTTTGCCACCTTCTCGTCCTGCTTCCCAGGGCTCTGCGAGGGGAAGCCAGCTGCCATCCTGCCAATGAGCATCTCTCAGCCATGCTTGCCCGTGGCCAATGTTGGCCCCACGCGCATCCTGCCGCATCTCTACCTGGGCTCCCAGAAAGACGTCCTAAACAAGGTACGGCCCTGTCCCATCTGGGACCCCAGCCACGCAGAGGGGTGAGGGCGTTAAGGACTCTTCTCCTGCCCGGTGGGAGGACCATGCGTGGTTGGTCTGACCCTACGAGGAGGCTGAAGGCAGGGAGTGCGTAGGCAAATCCCGGCAGAACTAAGGAGGGTGGTCGCAGGATGAGTCATCTCATATTGATGAGCTTTGGGGTGGTCAAACTCTTCCCAAGCGCCCGTAGCAAACTCAGGGGGCGGGAGGAGCACGGCTGGGAAAGCCCCTGGGCTTGGAGGGGGAGTTACCACAGCTGGAGGGAGATGTGGGACAGGAGCCAGCTTTGCCCTCACCCGCCGCGCCAGCCAGATAACACCAATTCCAGCAGCCCTGTGATCCCTTTGGGAGCCAGAGAGAGTGGGAGTGAGCTGGGGTATTGCACAGGGAACAGGGCAGCTCTGGCCAGGGGCAGGGGCTTCTTCAGGAGGCCCGAAAAGGAGCAAAACTTTGCTGTGAGGAGAGAGGAGGAAAGAGGGACAGTGTCCTTTTAAAGGTGCTGGAAGGGCTGTGCTGTGATGTCATGCCAGGAAAGGAATTTTGTTTAAAGGAAAAATAACAGCGAGAAGAAAGAAAGAGGAATTGCAGTTAAAATGCCGCCGGGCGCCTGCCCACCGCAGGCAGGAGGGAGCCAGCCGGGCGTCCTCGTCCGGAGCAGGGAAGGGGGGAGAGGGACCACGACGCTGGAGGGGGGTTGGAGACAGAAAGGAGAGAGAGAGAAATTATATACAGGGAGTAGAAGGAAATGAAAGAGAAAAATGCCAAGAATGTGAGTCCGGGAGCTGGGCTGGCTCCACCAAGCCGAGGCCGGGCTCTGCAGAGCCTCCTGGGGCAGGCAGGACCCGGCCGCTGGGGAGCCAGGGCTGAAATCCCAGTGCAGTCTCCCGAGGAGCCAATGTCAGGCGGGGAAATTGATGGTTTCCTTCCCTCCCCGCCTCCTCGGAGGGTTTTGTTCATCCTTTGGAGCTGTGTTTTCTGCCATCCCCGCGAGGTGGCCAGAAGATGCTCTAGTCGTAGACAGCAGAGTGAGGTCAAGTGTGGAGGCCATGCATGGGTGATGCTTCTCTTCTCCAGCGTGTTGCAAAGGAGAGATCCCACATGGCCGCTCCACGCACTCTGACGTGTGGAAGGATTCTTTTATCTCCGTGTTTTCTCCTCTCATTTAATTCTGCATCTTCCCTGGAATAGTGCAGACCAGTCACTGGGACCCATCAGCTGGCACAGACGTCCCCCCACTTTTTATAAGCAACCTGCCCCCAGTTGTACCAGTGATACCTAATCTGATGGGGCAGGGAAGGAGGCAGGGTTCAGATTAGCCATAAATCTGGTGTTAGGATCGCATATAGGTGAAGCTGGCCGTAGCCCTGGGAGGGAAGGCATGGAAGTTGGTGCGGATGCAGCAGTACGCACCCAGCAAGCCAGTTCCCTGAGAGATGGCCCACGGGTCAAACTTCAGCCCCGCATTGCAGTTTTTCATCAGACCCTGTTTACCTAAGGTCTCCCTTGTGCCATTGCATTTTATTGAGTCAGAGATACGGGCAGTGATGGTGGTCGTTGAGTGGCCAAAGCAGAAAAGTCACAGAAAACCAGTGCAGGTTCACTGCAGTGTCAGAAAGAGCCAAGAGATGGTTCCCTTCACCACCTGCCTATGTCCCAACACACGACCAACTAACAGATCTGTGAGAACTCCCTGTGCTTTTCTGAGGTGTGTGGGAGCAAAGACATGGGTTGACATTGGTTGACATAGGGTGCTGCCAATGACTCGCCCCGCTGTGTTGGTGAGATGCCTCCTCTCTCCCTCAGCTGATACTTTCAAAGCTTCCAGCTAGATTTTTTGCCGGTTTTCTTTCTTGTATTTTCCTATTCCTCTCATACTGGTGTTCTTGAGTTTTCTCCCCTGGGACCCCCACTCCCAGGTGTCTGGTGTTGCTTTTACTCAGACCAAAGTAAGGATCTGCTGAGGTTCAAATCTGTGTCATCTAACTTGACACAACCTTCTTAGCTGGTCTCTGCTGTACTACCATCAAGTAGGCCAAGGCAGCAGTGGGAGACCAACAGGAGAAAATACTAGGATGGGAAAAGGCAGGGAGTGCATGGCAGGGCAGATCTCCAGCGCTCGGTGCTGGCCGAACTCAGCTGATCATTCGATTGCTTCTTTCCCACCAGGACTTGATGACGCAGAACGGGATAAGCTATGTCCTCAACGCCAGCAACTCCTGTCCCAAGCCAGACTTCATCTGTGATAGTCACTTCATGCGCATTCCTGTCAATGACAACTACTGTGAGAAGCTCCTTCCCTGGCTGGACAAGTCCATTGAATTCATTGGTGAGCTTTCATTACAACGGTTGCAGACCCTCCAGTTCTCAGCTTTCAGAACCTGAACTCTTCTTCTGTCCTCCATGGTCTTACTCCCAGCCACCCTTGTCCTTTCAGGCAAAGGGGTGGTGGGTTGGGGAGGGAGGCTAGGGTCATTTTGCTCACCATCTCTGACAGCATCAACGCTATTCTCTCTGTTTCTTCTACCATGCTCCAGACAAGGCCAAGGTGTCGAGCTGCCAGGTGATTGTGCACTGCTTGGCTGGGATCTCACGGTCGGCCACCATCGCCATCGCCTACATCATGAAGACTATGGGTATGTCGTCAGATGATGCTTACAGGTGAGTTTTCCCCGGAGGGCAGGGAGGGGTTATGCCAGTCTGCTTCACTCCAGGGAAGGAAAGCAGGCTGAGCCCAGCAGGAGAGGGTGAGAGCTCCCCGAAGCTCCGTCTTGCCTTGGCTGAGTCCCAGTGAAACCAAAGCGCCCTTCATAAAGCGCATGCAACGGGGAATGGTTGGGAGCAGTAAAACGGAGCGGGGAGGCAGTCCCAGCTCTACCTCTGGGGCATCCTGAGGTCCCACAGTTCCCCAAGACCCATTTCTTTGGAGGGCCTGGTCAGAAGGTCCTGGACGATGCCTCTTCTCCCCAAAGAGGCTGAGAGAGGAGGGGTGACCCGCTGGAGGACCGAGCACCAACCGGGGCTGTCTGTGCCTCTTGGCAGGTTCGTTAAGGACCGTCGCCCGTCCATCTCGCCCAACTTCAACTTCCTAGGCCAGCTCCTGGAGTATGAGAGGAGCCTGAAGCTCCTCAAGGCCCTGAAGTCCAAGGGCGACCGGGGCGAGGGGGACGCCCAGCAGGACCCGGCAGAGGCGGCTGAGGGCAGCCGGCATCCCCCACCACCTACCTCAGAGAAGGCCGAGGAGGTGCCGAGAGGCGCCGGCTCGGCGTCCCCCCACGGAGACCCCGAGCGGCAAGGCGGGACCCCGAAGGTCCTGTCGCCCACCACCCTGCAGCAGGGGCTCAACGGCTTGCACCTCTCCTCCGAGCGCATCCAGGACACCAACCGCCTGAAACGCTCCTTCTCCCTGGACATCAAGTCCGCCTACTCCCCCGGCCTGCGGCAGGACCCTCCCGGTCCCCCCGGCCCCGGGGACACCCCCAAACTCTGCAAGCTGGACAGCCCCTCGGGCCCCGGCAGCCTCGGCCCCTTCTCCCCGGGGGCGGAGAGCCCCGACCGGCCGAGCGCGCCCGACCTGCTGCTGGAGGCCAAGGTGAGGCAGCGGCGGAAGCACCGGCACCCGGCCGGCTCGCCGGCCCACGGGCTCAGCCTCAACGCCGGGGGCCCCTGCGCCGCGCACAAGAGCCCCGGTGCCGAGGACGGGTTGCCGCCGCGGCTGGGGCAGCCGGCCGCCGCTCCCGGTGCCGCCTGGGGTGGTGTGCACCTGGAGTCCCCCGGCACTCCCTCCAACGAGGCGGGCTGGTACTTCGGCGTGGACGCCGGCGGCGCCGGCGGGAGCGGCGGGAGCCTGTTCGCCAGCGCCGGCCCCTACCCGCCGCCCTTCGGCTGCGAGATCAGACTGAGGGACAAGGCGCGGGCCGAGCCGCGGGACGGGCGGCACAGCTGGCACGAGGAGGCCGGCGCCGAGAAGCAGTTCAAGCGGAGGAGCTGCCAGATGGAGTTCGAGGAGACCATGTCCGAGGGCAGGGCCCGGGAAGAGCTGGGCAAAATCAGCAAACAGTCCAGCTTTTCGGGCAGCATGGAGATCATCGAGGTGTCCTGACACCCACCCGGGGTGCCTGGAGAGCGGGGACGGGGTCGGGGCGGGGGGATATTTAAGCTGGGGGGAGAGGGGAGGGCAGGCGGGCGGCGGGGTTGGGGGGGGGGGGGGGGGAGTATTTATACCCGCGCGTGCATTTTCGGGAGCGCACACGCTGAAACCGAAGCGAAGGTGGACGAGACCTTCCAGAGTCGGGAAACATAACGGTGGATGCTTAGTGTCCCCTCAGCACCCTGCCCCGCTCCTTCCCCCCCCCCCCCGCCATCCCCCGGGGGTCCCAGCCCTCGGAGACCCACGCTCGAGATTTGGGCGTAAAATTCGAGCGGGAAGGGGCAAGGGTTGCGATTTTGGCTGTGGGGATGGGGCGCAGCGCCTGTGGGGGGGACCACGGCTGCCCCTTCCCCTCACCCTGGTGCACTAAGCATGCTCCCCCGTGTTTCTCTGGCTAAGTACCCTAAAAATGCTGCACTGGAGCAGCCCTATACATATATAAATATATATTATATATAATATAAAGAAAAAAAAAACGCAAAAACACACACACAAAGGAAAAGGTAAATGGTTTTACTGCGATTTTTATTGAGACGTAAATAATATTTCAATTTTTTTGTTTTGTTTTTAATTTATTGAAGCTGTTCATTCTGGCAATGATTTGCAGACAATGTGGGGCGGTACTTTCAGCTCTATTTTTACTGTGTATGGTATTTAAATCTGAAATACGAGTTTCTAAGCAATATCTGAGGCCTGTGGCTCCTTCTATAGCTCATGTCGACGACAAAGATTTTCCCCTTCTTTCCTCCGGGTACAGCGACCAGGGGACAGGAAACTCTTCTGGGCACTTTTTCTAGAAACGAACAAGCGAATGAGCAAACCGTCAAATACAAACTGAGCCAGAAAACTCTCTTCTGGAAGCTGCTGCCGCTTCTTCACCCCTTGGTCTCTGCTTCTCCTCATCGCCATCCCCAGTCATCACCCCCATCACGGCCATCGTCCTGTCCCAGCCATTGTCCCCATCCTGACCGTCACCTCATCCCAGCCGTGCCCCCCTTCCACCCCCCCTTCCCCGGGCTGCCCCTTCTCACTGGAGAGGGCGAGAGGAGGGGGGGGTCACCCGCAGCGGAGGGAAGGGTGCTGGGTGTCCCCTCCAGCTGCACGGGGAAGGGGAAGGCGTCAGAGGCTGCCGCAGCGGAGGCAGGGAGGGGAGGCTGGTGGTGGTCGGGATTTCCTGTTGTGGGGTGTCCTACCTGCCCGCCCCAGCCCCTCGGCTCCCCCTCGCCTCAGCCACCTTGCTGGGGAGGTATGGGCACCGTTTTTTCCCTTTGGGGGGCGGTGGTTTTTCAGGCTTCCCCCATCCTTCGCTTTCACATCCTAGAAACTCATGGGGAGCGTGTTTGCAGGTGCCAGGACTCCCCCCGGCCCTGTTCCCCTCCGGGCCAGCTCCCTTCCTTCCAGCAGCTGATAAGCTGGCCAGACGCAAAGTTCTGCAAGCACACGGAGGGGGGGGGCACGAGCAGCTTATTTTCAGAAGCATTTGGCTGCTTCCCCCCGATCCCGGTGGGGAGCCAAGCTCTTGTCCCCAAGCCCCAACGTCAGGCTTGCAGAGAAGCTGCTTTCTGGAGCTGTAGGCACTGAACTGCCTCCGCTGCAAAGCACATCTCTCCCTGTGGCTGTCTTTGCTTTCTCCCTCGTCTCGCGCTAGTTTGCAAAGCTAATACCTCAGGGGTCTCTGTTTGTGCATGTCTGTGTCCTCCGTCATCCTTGGAGTGTTGGTTTTTTTTTCTTTTCTGGGTCCACACGGTTTTTCTCCCTTTCCCTTGTTCCTCCTCTCGTCGTTTGTTTCTATCTTTAAATCAAACTACACACGAGAAAAACCAAATGATCTCAGGTTTAAAACTGAACACAAAGCAGAGGCGTGAGGAGCTGCAATCGTGCAAGGAGGAGCCGCTCGCTTCAGCTGGTTGCTTCCCCAACCGCCTCTGTGTCTGCAGTCGAGGCGAAGTCTCCCCGGAGGCTCCTCGCTCTCTTCAGGCCGGCTTTAGTTTCTCTGGTTTTCCATGGGGCCGTTTGGTGAGATGCTGGGGACACCCCATGTGCTCCTGCCTACTTCCCCGAGGTGTGGCGGGGAGGGACGGGGTGGCTGGAGAGCCAGGGACCACCTGCCTCTCCCCACATCGCGTTTGATGAGGGCGAGAGCTCTCGTAGTCACCCCCTTGAAAGCCCACCGCCACCCCTCATTGCCTCCAGCAACCACCTCAAACCAGCTCAGTGTTGCCAACCTGAACATTTCTCCCTTCTGGCCGTGACAGGATGAGGGCACTATTTTTCTAAGCTCCTTTTTTAGATTCTAATAAGCATTTGGGTCCACTCTGTGAGCCAGGAGCTGCACTTGCAGCAGGGTCTCCTAAGTGGACAGGGATGTCAAGTCCAAGGAGGGAGGGAAAAAGGTTTTGTCCTCCCTCCAGCAAGCCCCCTGAGCCCAGGGTTAGCATCGCCCGCCTCCTGCCCAAGCAGTACTGCTGGTCCCTTCCCCTTCTGCTGCCCTCGGCGGTGGCATCTCTTCCCAAACACGCCGGGGGTGATCCCCTGCTGAGCTCTGCTCCCTGTCGCTCAGCCCCTGTCCATCCCGCAGTCCTCCGGGCTCAGCTCAACCAAGCTCAGGTCAGGCAAGCTGCCGGCAGGAGCTGGTTCAGCGTAGCTTTGGGCAGTGGAGAGCAGGGCTAGCTGACTTCCCAAGGGCTTTAAGGAAAAGAGGCCAACAGGTCGGCACAGCCAGGTGGGGTGGTGGGACGAGGAGCTAACGAGCTCGCATGTAACTCACCTCGTTAGCTGACAGGGTGGTGCGTTACAAGCGCAAAAAAGCAGCTGGATTAAGTCAGGAAGGAGAGGGCAGGTGTTGTAAATGAGACTCTGAATGTCTGCAGGGGCAGATAGGTGGTTTGCTTTTGTCATCTCCATCACCTGGGTGCTTCTCAGCTGTGTTTGAGGTTTTGGGCATTGTGGACCCCTCTCTCCTCCGAAACCAGAGCAAAGAGAAGTAGATTTTAAGATTACTAGATCATAACTGTTCAGAGACATTCATGACCCATCTCTGCAGCCTTATTTTGATGTACTTTGCATTCATCCTTCCCCTTTACATTGGGCATGTGCACTAGAAGCCCTCTCGTGCAGTATTTTAAAGCTACATCCAGAATATATGCCTTGATGGAGCAGCCCTGCCTGAGATGTTCCTGCCAGTGCCGCTCAGGATCACTGAATGGCTTACAGTTAATTTAAATGACTTTTTTTAAAATCAGCCTCTGTCTAATAGACCGCTTTGTCGATGAATCAGAGAGATGTGGGTTATCACGAGGATGGATGTGCTGGCTGGTAGCCCTCCCCATCATCTGTCAGCCAAGTCTTCTTATGAGCTCTCACAACCTGTTGACCCAACCCAGAGCCTCACGGGAACCAAAAAATCATCTTTCTGTGCTGGTCTGATGAGGGTGCATTTAATCGTAGGAACCCAGAGTGGCAGAAGTGTGAGCAGATGAGAGGAAAGGTCTCTCCTTTCAAGGGAGGAACCAACCACGCTGTTGAGGGCCCGACAGTCGCAGCAGTGGTCATGGCTGAGCTTTCCACCGCACCAAGGACAGAGGAAAGGACAGCTTTCCTTCGGGCTAGAAGGGACATTGTGCCCTTCCCTCCAGCCTCCGCCTGTCCCCGGGGCCGAGCCCCTTCCTTCCCTTTGGGGGGGCTGAGCGGGGCCGGCGCGAGGGCAGCGATCAGGTCGGCAACACTGAGCCAGAGGCTTGGGCGGGAGCAGGCTCAGCCCCGGCCTCGGCAGCAGCGTCCCCAGCCCCTGCTGCCTCCCCGGCCCTTCTCGTTGTCTGCTTGTTTCTTTGGACGTCCATCCCCGTTACATCTGCCCCTTAGGAGACGATGCCCCCCAGATCCCCCTCCTGCTGTTCCCTTCCCCCTCCCATCCTTAATACTAATGATAATAAGCTATCAGTGTTGTCATTGCAATCTATGAATGATAGATTTGAGTATTTATGATTATGATTATTATTATTATTATGATGATTATTATGGTTATGATTCTGTACTTTTTTGCTTCTTACTCTTTGTATGTTGCTCTTTGTTTCTCTGTTGTGAATAAACGCAAGGCCCCATCACACCTTCTCTCTGCTCCCCGCAGCCCGGCTGGGGCTGTGCTCAGCACACCTCCTGGCTGTCCCAAGCCCCAGGAGGCAAACCCTTGCCAGAGGAGCCGGAGGGTGGTGCTTCCTAAGGGTATAAAGACACCCAAACCTGGGGCAGATCCATTCTCTTAACTCTTCCCTTTCCTTCCTACGGCTCCTCTCCCCCGTACAGGTGCCTGCTCATGTTTGTAAGAGGCAGGAACCCACTGGCACCAAGGAACGGAGGCTTAGGTGGCAAAAGCTGAAAGCTTTTGTAACAGCTTTAAGAAACATTGGCCAGGCATTCCGCCCCTGGAGTCAGCTCCCTCCAGGCTGTGGCCCTCTCACCTTCTGCTGGCTGCTCCCACCCACCGGGGCTTCTCACTCTGCCATCACAGCTGGTTTGCAAAGCTCCCCCAGCTCAGCCGAGCCCGTGCACTGGTGCCCTGTTTCAGCCAGCTGCCCTGGGCTTTTTTGGCTCGAGAGTCCTCCTGGTGTGGGTGAGCTCCCCCTGCCCAGGGGCAGCACAGCCTTGGCGGGGGGGGGACACACAATACATGGCCAGTGCCAGCACAAGCTCAGTGGCAGAGCAGCGAGGAGAGACGTGAGCAGCCTCCTGTGCCTGGAGGGATTCAGAAAGGGGCTGGGAATGGTTCCCGCCGTGGCCCTGAGTAAGGCCTTTATCCGACACTGATAAATCGGGGTGTCGTAAGCAGGGTCCGGTGCTGCTTTTTTTGCACGCGATGCCTGGGCTCCTTGTACAATCTGGACGTTTCTAGATGACTGTAAGGTGAAGGAGGAGACATTAGGGGAAGGGAAGAGGAACCCTGTCTGCACCCTGGTACAAAACGCTCCCCGTACTGCGCCAGCCCCATGAAAAGTCATTTTAATGTG